TTCCTTTCTAATTTTTTTAATTTCAGAAATTTGAATTTTGAATTGGTAATAAGCCTGTTTTATATCTTCATATTTAACTCGTCAATCAAATTGTGTTCCCTCATCTCAAAAGGGCACGAATCGCCACTGTTATTATTTATTACTCCGTTCATTTTTGAAACGATTTTTCTAGGGTACACAGTTCTTTTATTTCAAACCAACACTGACAGAATTTTTGGCATTTTGTTTAATTGAAGACCATTTTCAGTGGGTTTAAATTTGTTTAACTACCAATTTGCAAAAGACAAATATGCAATATAATATTGTTACAGATAACAAACGAACAGACATTGTCACAATTTAATATAATTATTTAGTATTAATCATTACTTTATGCAAACATCCACTGAGTATGGAATCAACGAAATATTAATAACAGTATTGATAATAATAGTCATAATAGCTCTCCACAAACCACGTCGACCACCAAAGCTATCGGTCGCTAATACGCTGAATATTAAAATTAGGGTCACTGATTGTTTAAATAAAAATTAAAACGATTCGAATTCGAACCGCAACAAATAGTGCAAATTCTCTCCATAAATTATGCAAATTTGCTTTGTGTTTTAACTGCACCCCCAGGGGTTTTCGTGTAAATTCAGGTCCTCAAAACGTGATCGAAAAACCCACTTCTGTTTAATCCATTAACGCTTAATTTTCGGTTTTAATAAATTAAAACGATCTAATCGTTTCTTGGTACATAGTATTAAAGTTAAAAATATGGTATGTTCCGTTAAATAGCGCCTAGAAACTGGAACGCTCCCAAAATTTTTATGCTTAGCGAGTACCATGACGCCATTACCGACAATTACCATTACCTAGTTGTGTATGTTTACCATGTAGTGACTAACAAGTCGTCGGATGCGACGTGATTGCTGTTTTCGATAAGTATGTAGAAGTAAATAGTGAAACACGCAGTTAATTAAGTTGGAAAATGGATAATTAAAACTAAAAATTGCTTGTAATAATGCGTTTAGGCAGTTTTGAAGACCGGATCGTTCGGCTGGAACGAACTTCTCAAGGACCACGAGGACAATGCTGAAACATGCAAACAACAAATTTTAAACTAACGTTAATTACCGAGTTGTTAAATGACATTTAATACCAGTTCGTTAAAAATTCCAATGAGGATTGGATATGTCTCGTTTTATCGCTAGTCGATATTAATTGGCACTTATCGGTATACGGGTTTACATGTCAAAAGTTCACGGTCTTTCTTAATCTCAAGGAAGTCGAGAACGTTGTAGGCCACACAATTCGTCGACAATACAATATGCACTAACTTATTTAGAATTAATGATGTAATTATGTATCTGAGTGAATTGTATGCAAAACACTTCATTGTTATCTTATCCGGAGATTCGGTTCAATATGCAACGTTTATTTTGCGAAGTAACGTGTCCTAAGGGATTCAATATGGCAGCCACTCTACTTTCATGTATACAAGTTATAAAATTGCTACTTCATGTTACCCTTAAGTTTTGGGTTAGATTAAAAATATTAAACTTGAATTTTGAATTAAGCACCGTAAAACTGGTAGTTGGAGCGTGAAACAAAATCGCCGCAGTCATACATTTTTTTGGTTGCATTCAGTTTATGCTTAGTTACAAACATGCCATTAAAGTAGTTAAACGGGGACATTAAAAATTAATATCGTATATTTAAGAAAACGCTAAAGATATCAAAGCTTGTGTGGTTAAATGCAACCACAACTCGCATTCTCACGTTTCATTGTAAATTTAAGAAAGCGATTACTAATTCAACGAATAAAACATCCTACTTTTACGAGGGTTGCCTACTAAATTCTGCAAATATGTTTCGTTATATTTTGTTTATTTTCTTGAATCAAAGCAGTTATTTGCTTTATCAACAGAATTGTTTCGTTCTTTTTCGACTGAGACACCAGATTATTTTTACACTTTTTTTCTGTTCTGGATTCATTCCACTTGCGTGACAAAAGCCACGCATTCCCACACTACAGGTTGAATTTATACTTTGGTGAAAATTGACTTATCCCAAGATACTGTAAAGTATACTAATAAAATTTTGCAACTTTAAAGTTAACAACCGCGAGCAATAAACAATAGATTATTATAAACCCATTGAGGTCCCCAAATGTTTACCAGGAACGTGTTCGTTGTATTACATGTTAATAAAGTAGTCATCTGTGGATAGAACGCGTCATAATGTAGGATCAACAAGTATCCTTACGAGAATCGTTGTTGTTGAAATGACAACAATGAGGTTATAAAATTTAATTAGTACACAAAGGTACTTTACGTACAAAAAATGACAATAATCTCAAATCTATCTACAAAATTTCAACAGGTTGACAATTTTCCAAAATGTTGAAACATATTTTTTTTCTAGAATTTGGTACATCAAATAAAGTTGTGTTTTACGACGTCTCTCAGTGCTCATACGACCCACGAAAACCAGACATATGAACATCTTGACATTGAAATTTTTAGCTATATTTATTTTATGAAAACAGAAAATTGTAAAAAATCTAACAACTTTATCACCAACAATGTTTCATTTATTGTAGATACATGACCTTAAATTAAACAGTGCTATAGAGTTCAGATAATAAGTCACCAGAAAATTAAGACTTTATCAAACAACTTTTTTTCTACCATATTAAAGTATAGTTAAAATAACTAATAATAATTGTACGCTTTGTGAGACTTTTTTAAATAAAAGTAGGTACCTTTCGCTTGACGACACATACGTAAATTAGGGACTAAAATCAAAGCGTTCGGCAAACCGACCGAATAAGCTTTGTTCAATTCATAAACACGCTAACACTTTGAGCCTGTGTTAGCGAACGCTATATTTAAATCTGACGATCCATATTCATTTCGTTAACTTCCTAGTTTTCCATTAAGATTTATTGGAGAAAAATTTAGCTAGCTTTAAATACAATAAAGTGTTAATTATAAAACATAAAAATTGGTCTAAGGTTATTTAGACAGAACTGCCCTCACCTTTAATGTACAGTCGAACAACTACAATTTCTTCGAAAAATTATAAAATTTAATTTTGCAAATTTTATTTTTTAACCCCTGTAATTGCAAATAAAGTTATCTCTGGACTATTACAATATAGATAAAGAAGCAATGGCATAAATAACACCCCCTTATCCCTTGCGCCGCAAATTCCAAGGGGCCGCGCTCCGCGTAACTGCAGACAATGTGAAATAAATAACCAACGGGAAAAAGTGTACACAGTTTAACTTCGATTGTTTATGTTTATACTTAGAAAGAATTCGATAATATGCATTTATGTCAAAAGAAAATGAAATTTGATTTGAACGGATCATTTTCCTGTGATCATTAATTTTTTTATTGATCAAAATGGTCAAAGTGTAAAAAAATTGGTCTAAGGAGTTTAGACAGTACTTTCCTCGCTGTTTAAAAACGTGACGACTGCATACCTATTATGTTTTTTCGTATTACATTTTTGTAGGGGGATTTTAAAATAAATTGAGTATTAATTTTCTCAATGTTGTCATTATTTGGCATTGACATTTTTGTCATTTTTTTTGTGATTGCTATGATTGCTTATTAAAAAAAAATAAATTGCACGAAGTCGTATCTGGAGTGTATAATATGTTGCCTATGCAAAAATTGTCAGGCGTCTACAGATAAAATGAACACCCTGTATAGTGCTTGCAATTTAAGACAAATAGCCATTACTGTACGTCGATAAGAAAAACAACTTTATAGTGTTTATATATACATCGGAAGAATGTCACGTAGAAATTAGTTTGATTTGAATGAGTTCGTCCTCTCAAAACAGAGAATCAAAACTATAAACTAGTAATTAACAAGTCGACAAAAAGTTCTGAATATCATTATTATAATTTTTATTAAATAAAGACGTTTGTATTTTCACATTTTCGGGAAAGTGGGGTGACTCGTTCTTAATTTGATCAATAAAAAATATGAATGAACAAGTAAAAACTCATCATATTTTCCACATTTTAGGTAAAATTCGGCAAAATTTTGAGATAACGTCATCAATTTTTGGGGGAAATAAACAGATTTATTTCGATTAACAATTTACCATGCTTACAATGACTGTAAAACGTCTGCAGGATTTCAAAGTATTCAGTTTTGCAATTCTTGATTTAATCAATAAAATAAATTGACTCGTCGTTAATTTTTTTTCAGACACCCCGTATAAGCAAATCTAAAAAATATTAATGCAGTGATAGATCACAACTATAGACACATCATTCTTTACACATTTAAGACAGCACATTTTTTTCAGCGAAAGTTTGAAGTGACGTCATCAATTTTTTGGAGGGGATAAGTAATTATATTGTGATTAAAATTTTATCATCCTTATCATAACTGTAAACCATCTGTAAGATTTCAAAGCATTCGGTTTTGCAGATTCTAAATTAAATGTCAAAATGTTTTTTCCTAATTTTGATTTGTTTTCCAAAAATCTGGACGTTTCGGGTAAAATCTCAATTCGGAGTCATAAACTACATGTGTAAGACTATGTTATTTGATACAATTTAAAACTCATTTACTATGTACAATTTTGAAGTGACGTCATCACATTAGTGGTGGGGATGATTAGAGAAATTTTGGTTAGCGTTTTACCATCTAGAGGATATACTTAATATAAATACAAAATTTGACAACAATCGGCGTAGTACTTTCGGAGATTGTTTGTCTAATAAAAATCCGGAACGGCAGACAGACGGACAGACGGAAACGGGAGACCTATTTCTTCGTCCTGTAGGGGTCATGATAGGTTGAGAAAATGCAAAAGTAGAGAGTCGGCCGACGGACTCGATTACAATACTTCCTTTGCTTACGCTCGGGAAGTAAAAAATGGGCTAAACAGTGTCAGTGGTATAAGTGGCTTATGCCTAAACTAAAGATTCACACTCTCATTTCAAAAGTGTGCATTTTAACACTCGGTACATGAAATAACTACAAATATTAGAATACAGATGTATTTATTTCTAAGTACATGCTACCATCATTCCTTAATTAATGATTCTTTATAATTACAGTAAAGTTATTATTCGTAGCTGTACTCCTCTAAATTCCTGAATATTTCTTTTTCTTATCTTGCATAGCCATAGCCATGGAAATCTAGAAGACATATCTTAATAAATGAAACTATTAACAAAATAACAATAATCAGTCAAAAATAAATTTGATACTATGAGACACTATTTTGCGACAGTTTTTTTTTTAACAAATTGGTATTAAAAATTGTGCATACTTTTTTCTATTATGGTGTGTTTTAAAACTACTTACCAACAGGCTGCCCACTAGCGCTGCGTACACAATAACGATGACTTTCATTTTGACGGAGATCAACACTTTTTGAAAAATACCTAGTCCAAAGCTCCTTATATAGGTGGTGACTCATAACCTTGTAGCTACCCAACCCTAACAGAGAATATATCTACATGAATTTTACTTTTATCAGTTGATTTTGATGAAAATTCCAGAATATATAAATACCCGTTAAACATTGTAAAGCAAAATTAACGTTGCACCCGTACACTTATACTTATACATATGTGATGTTTTCCATACTTTAACTGTCAAATTATGTAATTTTATATCTTTTTTCCAAATTTTACTCCTTAATTGTCATACTTTGACTTTCAAATTATTGTTTCTTTATATATTTTTTCCAAAATTTTACTCCTTAAAGAATATATAACTGATAAACTGTGATTAATGGCTGTTTCATTACAAATGTTTCTGTAACGTTCATTTAACTTTGAAATGCAAACAAATGTAAAAAAGAATAGGCACTAAATAATTTTAATGTAGAATATTTTGAGATGACGTTATTAAATTGTTGGTGGGGACGATTCGTCAAATTATGGTTAGCGTCTTACTATCTACAATCTACTAATATGCATACAAAATTGAGTAACAATCGTTCCAGTAGTTTCGGAGATTATCTGACAAATAAGAATGGATATAGACGGAAACAGGATACCTACACTCGAGTAGCAAACATTTGTCTAAAGTTATTTATATAGTGCGTCCCTTGGTCTTAAACTTGATAACATTTAAAATATGAAAAAGTAGGGCTCCCATTTTCGTCTGTCTGTCACCTGTCGTCGCTTTTATTAGAAAAATTTCCATGTGCATTCTACGTACCTGTCCTGTACTTGGTGACATCAGGAAAGAATACATGAAATTCAACATTCGGGGTCACATGATATTCAAAATGCTCCTATAAATAAAAATATATAAATGGTATATTGAGTTTTATTACAGGCACAGGATTCTTTTAGCACTCGACAAAAAAAATCCATATCTACCGGACAGAAATTTAGATATTGTTACGTTGATCGATGAATAAAATCGGCGTGAGTAAAACTCAACAATTTAGTTTTTAGTAATTAAAATTCACACGGCTATTTACACATCGATTATGTACAAAATAATTCCGGCGCAACTTGACTGAATTCGTTCCCGAAGGTGGCCTCTATTTAAAGCCATATTTCCCTATTAGAAGTTCCGCAGTCGAGGTCTTTCTGGATTGCCCATCGCGATTTCCGCTTCCATGCTTTTCTCCGACCGCTGTCACCGACAATGAGTCATCATCGCCGTACATACTAGAACCCATAGCCGTCGTAACAGCATATTTTAAGAAACGACTTATGGTTTTCACAACAACCTTGAAGAATATACAGTATTTCAAAGCAGTGGTTTTTTAATTTTTTATTTAAATTGCAAAATTTTGTTTTCGACTTTTCTCCTAAAACAAATAAGGTTAAGAATTCGCGTGGACTAATAAACTATCGGTATAGAATTGTTAATAAGATTAGTAAGATATGTCAAATTTTTGGTTGGAATGTTCAGACAAATTTGATTTACCATTTATACGACATTCGTAAAATATATCTAATATTTCACAAGGGTCAATTTGGCAGTTGCGAAGATTATCTGTCTAATAAAATCCACAATAAACGACAGGCGACAGACAGTTGAAAAATGAAATTACTCACATTCTAATTGTAGGTGGACAAACAAAACATTTGCTTGCTATAATAGAAAAATTATACAAAATTTTTGTTTTCTGATAACCTTATAGAGTAAAAAATGAAATATATTCAAAGCAAATAAGCAACGGAAAAGAGTGTATTATTATCAGTGTACATGCTTAAGTTCGATTGTTTATGTTTATACATTGAAAGAATGTCACGTAGAAATTTGTTTGATTTGAATGAGTTGTCTCTTTAAAACAGAGGACTAAAATTATTAATTATTTTTTAATTAATTAGTGTTGTTATTTGATCATAATTAAATAAAGACGTGAGTATTCTCACATTTTCTAGAAAATGAGGTTCTTAATTTGATCAGTAAAAAATTGATCGAAGGCTAAAAATCCGGTCTCGGAGACTATGTGTCTAATAAAAATGGATACAGACAGACAGACGGAAACGGGAGACTACTTTTTTCGTATACTACTCCAGAACATTTGACAAATTATCTTATAGAAAATTTAAGGTTAGTTTTGTGTAATATTATAATATAATACAACGACGTAGCTATCTTGGTTGCAACAACATTGGCGTCAACTGAGTCGAGTTATTTAATATATAGAAATCAGAGTTGAGTGCTCTCGCAATGGAAACAAAGTGGCTGCGGTCATTATAAATAATAAAACATTCTCTGCAGTTCCTATTAAGAAGCCGCCACTGTTACCTGCACCAATTGATTTATTTGTTACTACATTTTCACAAAAAATTTAGTTAACAAATTAATAATAATAAAGCACAGAAAAATGTCCATTACAAGTAAATTATTTATACATAGAATATTCTTTCATTAAGATAGCGATTTATTTTCGATCTATATTAACTCATTTAAAATCTATTAAAATTACTTGGTTTGTTGCTCGTGATCATAAACTTTCATCGGTTAATAATTTTACGGCGTGTAATTAATGTGGAGGTAGGAAACACCAGCTAATGGATATAAATATTTTAAATAGAAAACTGTACGGGGCCACCTTAATATTAACAATACAGTTATGAAAAACAGTAACACGACGAAACTTGTCAAGACACAACAAATTACATTTTCCGTTAAAAACAACGATATTACATATTCACATAGCGCAACAGAACGTTTGTAAGTCTGTCCATGTATTTTATTCCCTTATTCTCATTACCCATTTAAATGGAGCGTGTCAAGACTCTAGAAAAAATATATAAACCTTTGATAAATAGCCTGGATTACATTAACGAAAAACGAACTATATGATTTTCATTGAAACACAAGTTTAAATTTCAGGTAGATATTGCTGTCACTGTTGTCGTAACGCGATCCTAATGAAATTTGTCGGAATAAGATTAAATATCATCACTCAAGCCTTACAACAATTCCCGAAAGTCACGTTGCGAATCGCTATTGATTTTGGAAGCCTTTGCACGTTTTTACTATGAAATTGTAAGTTATCCACTGGAGAGTAGGGAACCGTCTGCCGATTTTTGTATGACTTGAAAGAGTTGTATTCAATTTTGAGAATTATTGTTCATCCAGTTTTCGATTCAATGATATCTAAATGCAAATTCAGTGGTCAAAGACCCGAAAATTTGACACAGTGCCAAGTGTAAAACAAAAGTAGGTATGAAACAAATACATGTAAACAGCTTTATTACAAGTACCTGTTCGATAAAGAAAAACGTGGAGATATACGTATTTTAGACATTTAGACTGACGATCCCTAACATCGATATGATGACGCATTTTGTGTGTACTATTTTTGGCATTCATAACACAACTGAAAACTATTCTTTTTTAAGTCACTACTAAAATATACAACGAAAGGCGATGTAAATCGTGACTAGTAAAAGGTCGTTAAAAATAGATCACAAATGTCGAACAGCTTTCCATGAATTTATTTAATTATTTCATTTCACTAGTTCTACGAAAATCGATGTCGACGGAACAGTAACAGGATCAAATACGTTGCTGGCTGCATATATGCGATTGTCATAAATGTTTTGCCAGTCAAAGAATTAATTAAATTTAATATTTTCAGTAAAGTAGAGCTTTTAAATCTGAGCATCTGCTTCCTTGCTTTGTTTTATCATATGTGATTATAATAAGTGATTTTTTGCAACTTTGATCATTCAAATAAGCAACTATTGCAATCCAATCACGCGACCCCATGAAGGACGCGCGTGTGATTCTTAAAAGCAGCAACTACGACTTAATTTGAATGACAAATTTCACGGAAAAAATTTGCGTTATATTCCACTTAACAGTAAAAAAAAATGTGGGTCCTTTCGTAGGTTAAGAATTTCTAAACTTATTATAAATACTTTCAACAGTAGATTGTCAGAAAATGATATACATTTGAGGTTTGCCACCCAATTATTTTTTTACTGAAAATACACAAACGTTGAATTTATTTCCCTCTGTTCTGAATTATCGTACGTAAAAATAAAATTAGACATTTGAAAACCGACAACTTATCAATATCATAACGGAAACCATAGATAAGGTGGCAGTAAAACCGAGTTTCATTTTTTAGGAATATACCAGAACGAAACATACTATGGTTAAGTACTCGAAGTTATAATTTACGTCCCATCGAATTTTCTGTCTTGAAAGACCAGTCCAAGTTCAGTGGCTTAGGTCGCTTCTACTGCGAATTACGGTTCCCAATATTAGCATACAATTACGGATGTCTTGTTTTCTATTATTACGAAGACAACGTGACGAGTAGAAACGTTGCAAGAATGGTTAACTGTTGTTACCCCAAAAGTGTATGTTAAAAAATGTTCGACAATGACCTTCAGGAAGTCTGTCTGAAATTGCAAGCCAAATCATATTCATCTCTACAGACTGTTTTGTTTTGGAAGCAACATACAACTTGGTGTCTTTAAATAGAACCCCCTGTACACGTCTAAATTGTCTTCTTACGCTTTTTTAAATTCCAGTGCTACGTTGATAAATTGTTCCAATTTTCTTTATTACATTTTTATAAATAATCGTCAATGATATAACTCATATAATTTACCAGAAACTGTATATAGGTAACTGTGAACGCAATACATACATTAATTGTGATCAATGAGATAATTAATGTACCAAGGTGATATACCATTGTTTTTTTATCAAGATTCGGACAATTTAACATGTTGATTAGAATTTAAGCAATAAACACATAAAAGAATATAAATCTGTACTGGACTTTTACAATGGTCAATACAAAAACAATACAATAGCGGAACACTCAGACGTTACGGAAGTGTTTTTCTCACATTGCCACCACGTAGACTTATAATATTCGGAAAGCAGGTGTAAAAAAGCGTGGATCGCCAAGTTAATTTCAACTAAAGATCATGAA